ATTTAAAAAAATCGAAAAAATCGTTCAGACTTTTTCGCTCTGTTTAAAGTTTAAATTACTCTTTTAACGTCACATCAAACCTACTTACGTTCAAACGCGGGTCCAGAAGGAAGGTATTTAGCGTTTGGTAAACTTTCTAATACATTCTTTTAGGTTTAATTGCAATTGCTGAACAGATCTTCAAGCACCATAACGACCATAACCTCTTTGAAATTTGAATGAATCCTGTAAACAAAACTTCTTAACCGTCAAAACGGTCAAACGTCAAACATTCCTTGAACTAGTTGAACTTTCACTTTCACTACCTACTTATTTTATCCTACCTACCGATTTAATCAACGCCACTAGTAGAACTTTCTTTCTCTTTAAAAATTTCTAAGCCTGAAATTAGCTCGTGCGCGGGAAAAAACGATTTTTCGATTCGATTTTAAAAATCGATTTTTGAGGTACGATTTTAAATCGATTAATCGATCTTTCGAAAAAAATCGAATCGATTCGCGTAATCGATTTTTTCAAAAAAATCGACATCCCTATAACTGGGTCCCTTGCTGTATCTTCTTCTTACCTCAGACATACCCCCTGCAGTACGGGATTCCATGTTAGCTAAATACGCGGACGATACAGCGTATGCGGCGTCCAATTTATCCCAAGAAGTAGCTCTAGACATACTCCAAGAAAATTTAACTTCGGTATATGACTGAAATCAAGAGAAAGACATAGTTATGAATCCTTCTAAATTCGTTTTAATGATCTTTTCAAACCGAATAATAAACAATAACTTATTTTTACAATATGGAGATGTCCACATCCCCATATCAAATTTTGCTAAATATCTGGGCCTTAATCTCGATTGTAAATTGAAGTGGAAACACCACATTAAGCTAAAACGTCAGGAATGCAACTGGAAATTTAGTCGCCTTCAGTGGTTGGTGGTAGGTCGTTCTCCATTATCCCTTGGCAATAAGTTGCTTATTTATAAGCAGCTTATTAGGCCTGTCTGGGCATATGGATGCCAGATATGGGGAACGGCTGCTCCCACGAACATTAAGATGATCCAGACACTTCAAAATAAAATACTTCGTAGAATCTGTGGGGTACACAGATATGAACGAAACAGGGATATCCACAGAGATCTCGGCATTGAGCCTGTGGGAGACTTTATCACAAAAATTTCCTCTTGCTATGAGGCTCGTCTACATAGACACACTAATGAGGAGGCAATTACGTTGCTAGATAACAGTAAAGAAATTAGAAGATTAAAAGATGCAAACCATGGGAGCTGGCCACTCCTCGATTTGATCTGTATTTTTAATTATACTATGCTCCTCTTTTCTTACATCATCTTTACATTAATTTTCATTTTCATTTGTATCACTGATTTTCATACTCATTTATATGTGTGTTAGTTTTTGTTAGGGGCGGGGAGGGTTATTTAGTGGTAGTTTCACCACTTATACTCATCTCTGTTTCCTTTTCTTTCAAGAATTAAGAAACTACTCTGTTGTCTCTTGTATTCTGATTTATTACATTGTAAAGATATTGTATATAATTCCTTTGGAAGTTTACAAAATAAAAATCTAAATAAAAAAAAAAAAAATAAGTTTCTATCATTGCTTTCCGGTCACTGATGATAACTAACATCGGAGCTTGGACTCCCGATTTCGAACGTAAGTCACAGTCAGTGGCCATAATTATAATGATGGAAACTTCGAATGCATTTTTCTCAAAGGCCATTTTATGCTATATGTGCCCTTTTTCTGGAAAGCTCCTCAAATACATTGACGTATTGCTGAGTATGAGGCAAGGATCTCAGATAGTTACTCTACGAGGAATCTTAGGGCTGAACCCGGACACCCTGCTGAAATTTGCAATAGGAGCCCGATGTTCAAAATTCCGTAGAAATTCTTACATTCGGTTACAAAAAGCGATAGAATTAGTATAGGTAGCTGGATTTAGAAAGCGAAGGAAATCAAACAGCCGTGCTAAACAATTTACTGCCTAACAATAACTTTATCGCCATCGTCTATCAAATACTGTAAGAAACTGTGTATAACCTTCAATAGATGCTATGAGAAATCTTATAGCCGGCTATAGGTCTATGGCATTTGGGAACATAGATTCTAAAGCCAATTTTTACCAGGGTAAAGATATCCTCTACTTTCCCCTATCAAATGAAGATTTTCTAGAAAATTGCAGCATGATAGGAGAAAATGGATACCATTTCCGGCTTTAACAGTCAAATGTACAGGATGTCCTAAACCTCACGTGTCAGAATTTTTTCTGCTTGGGTTATTTTAGGCCGGACACAGTCCAGGACCATGAGGACAAATAGAGAGCTGACCCGAGGAGTGCAGCTTTCGTCATCCCAAAGCTCCCTTGGTAACCTTTGGGAGTTCAGCATTCCTGCAATCAATGAACAGACAATTCTATGCTGAGTCGCAGGATTTTCCCCCAAACATTTTACTTTTTTGCCAAGTCCATTACTGCAAAATTTTCTAAGTATGAGTAAAGTCGTACATTTTCTCCAAAAGGAAGTGTGGGTTGCGAAATCTCACGAGCATTGCAAATTACATGGTATACGTATCCACTTCACTTATTTTCTTGACATTCTGGACTACATACAGAATCAGCGGAGTACAAAACATATACGAAAATTCATCATTGTATGAAAGGTAACTTCTCTACCGTTCTCTCTGTCTGAGCGGCAGCCATGTTGGCCACCACTTTGGTTCTTAGAGAACTTTTTTGGGCCTGTTTGGGTATTTGGACTTCATTTGTGGAATTTACGACCCAAAAAACCCATGCAGGGACACCTCACTCGACGATACGAGCCTCATCAAAATACTTCACCCCGCAACGGCAGCCATTTGGCCGCTACATTGAAATTTTTGGGCTTCAATAAACCTTCAGTAAAATTCTGACCTCATCAGTGAAATCTACGACCCAGAAAACCCTATGAAAGATACCCTACTCGGCATTTTTAAGCAACTCTCGGAGATTTGACCCTATCGTGGAAATTTAGGCGGCCATATTGGATTTTGGGTAATCCCTTTGAGCCGGAGACAATTTTGGACCTCAAATTCGAATTCTACGACCAAATTTACATAGTGATGGACCCCATACACGACATCAAAAACAAATTCCAACATCTTCAACCCCCGAGCCCCCATTTTGGCCGCCATGTTGAATTGGAGGGGTTGGATGCAAAATGGAGCTTGACAACATCAAAATTATTTTTCAACACATCGAAAAGAAGAGATTAGGCCATTTTCCACACCTACTCTATTTAATATTCCACGGTAGGCTTCTTTTCAACATATGCCTGTGGACTAATTTATGCAGGCCCGCGCTGTGCCGCCGCCGCGCGGATCGCAGTGGCGCGGAAATCTTAAATCATAGACCCATCATGTAATATCGTTGGAAAGCTTAAAAGACGCTCTTATAATTGGTGAGTATTTAAAGTGACCTTAATAATGCGATTTTAAAAGATATATGGGTTAAAAGCTTTTTTTTCAGTACACAAAAACCGGTTTCTATGAAAAAAACACCCTGTATAATGTCAAAATCAAAAATTTTGTGATTTTGTTATATTTACCTTTCAATTATCTATCAAACAAAAAAAAGAAAAATTAAATCGGTTCAGTGGATCTCGATCTATAGCGGCTCAAAGTATGCATCCGGATGCCATTTTGAATGGCCGCCATCTTGGATCTGCCACGATTTTGGAAATGCCTCTTTGACTCAAAACGCTTAAAATATCATCTAGTTATACCTCCAAAAGTGGCAAAACTGAATCACGATTTGCAGCGTACTTGTCATAAGCCACCGTACTAGAAATAAGTACCCAACAAAAGCTATCCGGAACCCATGATTCTTGGAATCAAGGGGGAGACTTTGGGTTTGAAAAGTATAAGGGTGGTATTCACAGTTGCTCCTTAAACGGTTCCTTCTGGAGGCTCCATGTGAATTACATTGTGACTATGAGAGATCCTCCATCTAGCATAATGAGAAGAACAATTTTTGCAAACCTCAATTTACTGGAAGTTTACACTTTGCAGCATATTTTTGGAAATGGATTCTTGAAAGGGATTAGGCACAATGATTTATCTCTGCAAAAAATACAGAATCGGTATGAAAATATATTGGGAGTTTTTTTCTCATTTTAAGATAGGTTTGTACCTACCTTAAAGTTTGTCACAATCATGGAATTTTCTCTTGTGTATTTTATACTTTTTGCATCGACAAATCTCAGCACTCCCTTGCAAGGATCCATTCCAAAATCATACCTTTGAATTTTCCTCCAGGTTGGCAGAATTGTCTTTTTCATAATGCTATTTTAAGGCCTTTGTTAATCCTCCCTGAATCATATTTAAACCCTATGGAGCCCTCTGAGGAAAGGAGCTGTTAAAGGAATGATTTTGAATACGACCACTAACCCAACTGGACTGTTGAATAACAAACTCAAGCAATAATAATGACTTTAATCTGGCATTTGACTAATGGACAGGGAGCTCAGATGAGTTTTCTTATGGTCAGACAGTTAAGCAGGGAAAGGAAGATGTCTACCACCATGGGGTACTAAGTTTTGAATGTTCTTCATTTTGTAGGAACACTAATCGTTAGAACAGATTTGTTGTATCTAACAAAGGAGTAATTTTCAGCAAACTGTAAGGAAATCTTCAATATTCATATCTTTTGTTCGTAAGCATATAATAATGTATTACTTGTTTTGGCTAATTTAAAAAAATTTTAAGCCAAAGCAATTTTTCCTCAAGCTGGCGCCAGCAGGTAGGTAAAGACTGCAGCTCGGAGGCCAAAATTTAATTTGTTGTCTTTAGGGACCCACAAGCGTGAGTAAACTCGCGGGGAGGGTATATTGTATTTTTCAGAGTTTCAAGATGTTCTCAGGAGTCAGAGGACGACCTTTTCTCTATCAACTTGTGGATCATTAGGTTAATGATAAATTTTAATAGTATCCTCCTGTTCCTTTGTGTCTCTAGGATCTCTTGAAATCGAAAATGTTCAGATGAGTGACGCAGGAAGTTATCAGTGCAATGCCTCAAATTTTATTGGTCATGAAGTAGCTTGGGTTGAACTTTCTGTAAAGTCAGCAGATGGTAATGTTCTCCATTAAAATTTGCATCTTTCACGTTTTCACATAACTTCTTACTTATTCATCAAAGAGCCGTATGCATAAACGACATTTTTGCCCCCCCCCCCCACTAAAACTTATTCAAGCTTCGTCTATCAGTTACTAATACTGGAGCGCTTCTTTCCCTAAATTTTCAGACCCCCAAAAAAGTTTGGGGGGGGGCGCTAGGGGGGGTGGAAGTCAAAACCTGTGAACCTCGATATCTTCCGAACGGAACAAGATATTGAGGGCCGGTTTGGACGAAAAATCGTCTAAAATTGCATACTTTAAAATTTTAAACGTCAAAATCCCAAAATTACAGTTTTAACTTGACCTATGTGCTTTTTTTCAGTTTTTGAGGAAAAACAATTTCTTTTAAACACATTTAACTGAAAGAGCACATTTTTGTTTTTGCACCAAAACCAGTTTTTAAAATTGCTCGTCTTTTTCCGCATCCAACGAGTGGTCATGTAAGCTGGAGAACCGAACGGTTCCCGAGTTATGAGCGATTGAAGTTTCCGCTCAACGCGCGCCGACCGATTTTCGCGCGCCAAAAAGTCGTATTTGACTGTTAATAAATCAGATTGAATGTTCAAACCGAGCAAAATGCATTTTTAGGGACTCTTGAGGGTCGCTGAGTTCAGAAATTACAGATACTTCCAAAAAATTCACGTTTTTAAAATTATAGCTCCGTAGCGCTATTTTACAGGACCTCTGAGCGGCCGGTCGGCGCTTAGTGGGCCTCTAAATTAGCGCTACGAAGCTGTAATTTTAAAAACGTGAATTTTTTGGAAGTATCTGTAATTTCTGAACTCAGCGACCCTCAAGAGTCCCTAAAAATGCATTTTGCTCGGTTTGAACATTCAATCTGATTTATTAACAGTCAAATACGACTTTTTGGCGCGCGAAAATTGGTCGGCGCGCGTTGAGCGGAAACTTCAATTGCTCATAACTCGGGAACCGTTCGGTTCCCCAGCTTACCTGACCACTCGTTGGATGCGGAAAAAGACGAGCAATTTTAAAAACTGGTTTTGGTGCAAATACAAAAATGTGCTCTTTCAGTTAAATGTGTTTAAAAGAATTTGTTTTTCCTCAAAAACTGAAAAAAAGCACATAAGTTAAGGTAAAAATGTAATTTTGGGATTTTGACGTTTAGAATCTTAAAGTATGCAATTTTAGACGATTTTTCGTGCAAACCGGGCCTCAATATCTTGTTCCGTTCGAAAGATACCGAGGTTCACAGGTTTTGACTTCCACCCCCCCTAGCGCCCCCCCCCCAAAAAAAATTTTTTTTGGGGGTCTGAAAATTTGGGGAAAGAAGCGCTCCAGTATTAGTAACTGATAGACGAAGTTTGAATAAGTTTTAGTGGGGGGGCGTAAAATGTCGTTTTGCATATGGCTGGCTCTTAATAAAATTTTCTACAGTTTTAATAGATCTGGTATTTGCATGAAGTTGTATATTAATTGGATTAATCCACACATAGTTTGCCTGAACAAATTAAAATAAATCCAATCACCTGTCGATGGAACCTTCAGAGCCTTGTATTAGAGTATTTTCACTAACATTCTAGCTGAAAATCATAATGTTCTATCGAGCTCCTGGGAAATGAAGTCCCTTTAAAGTTTTTTTGGGTCAAATTCAGGAGGGCTTTTTTTTTTTTTTTTTTTTTTTTTTTTTTTTATTTTTCAGAATATGATACAACCACCTTTAACAAAGTGTTAATTATCTTCTTTTTACAAATATAATAACTTATAAATTGACTAACGTCTAATTTTCATTTTTAGCCTTAACTTGTATAACCCTTTCACGCACAACACCCAGACTACATGCAAACGTCTTAAAACTATGTGAGTAAGATAAGAGAGAGAGAAAAAAAAAATAAAATAAAAATAAATTGAGAAGTTATAGTCGAATTAAATTTGTTTTTCATGCATTTTCCATGTCAACAAAAGCGATTCTAGTAATTAGGTTAGCAAAGATCTATTTGTTTTAAATATGAGGACATTGATGTTTTAATTTAGACACCGAAGGCTAAGTCCTGAGGTTTAACCCTCTTGAGCCTTCTTATAGGGTCCCCTACTGTTAGTTCCCTGGCTAAGGGATTAGAGTGAACTTCGAGCTCATTATAATATTTGTATGAGGCTTTCCTAATGTAATCAGGGACGGATTCTATATCTAGCTCCTCCCTAATTGATTCGTTAGTTGTGAACCATACGGCATCCACAATTGACCAAAGCACCTTCGCCTGGAAGGACTCAATCAGGTATCTATTGCTAGGAGGGCTACCAACAATATAGACTTAGTCCCCTGCAAAGGTGCAGAAAGTTTTTAGCCTTTCCATTTCCAGAATTTGCCTCTCCTAAAATTTGATGTTTTGCTAAATGCTTTTAAACCCCCTCTCCAAAAGCAGCTTGCCAGAAGAGCTTCCAGTACAGAAAGCAGTGCGTTTTAGTTTTCTTTCCAAAAACCAAGGCGCTCAATAATTTCCCTCTTAAGAACCAACTTACTTGGTAGAAAAAGGAGCAAAGAATTCTCCAACTCCCCTCTTTTTTGGAGCTTCTCCTATCGCTCACTCAAGCTGCCTCTTAATCATGATTGCGTGATCGGGAAATTTCTGCATCCAAGATTTCGTGTGAGTTTCCCCATGGTGTCATGCCATAGAAAACATGAGCCATGTTCAGTGTTCAATCATAAAATATTTTATAATTAACCTGGGTTCATTTGCCAAAAATTTATCAATGAATCTTAGGTAGATTTCCGGGTCTGGAATGAAAAACAATGTCCGTTTTTCTTGACCAGTTGGTTTTGCCTGATGAAGTAGAATTCTTCCTGTAAATTAAACTTTTATGGGGAAAATTTACTTTACTCGAAAAATAAGAAAAAATGAAGATCATTTTCAGATTCAGGAGCAAAAAAATACATAAATGTATCTATCGTATACCATAGAATATTCCCTGTTGTTCTGGTTACAAAACTATTTCCTGTCAATGCCTTAATTGGCCCATAAACTACCATAGTAAAGCGGATTGATCTGCGTCTAAAATTTTAAGAACATTTGTTTTCTCAGGTTTCTTTTACGACAGCTCTCACCTATTTTTTGCCACTGAAGCTGAAAATGATTTTAATTTGTTTCCACCCCCTTGTAATTTCTGCTTTAAGTGAAATTATTCTCTTTTCATTATTACTTTGTCTTCTGTCTTCTCTTAAACGCTCATAAATGAGATAAGACTAAATTATTAACCATTAAATTCTGTGGTCAGAAAACGTAGTAGGAAAAAAAAAAGAAATTTTTTCGCAGAATCTTACCCTCCACTTGTTTACTTTTCTCGATTTTTACACCAATGTACCTTTTAATTTCTTCAGATGCAGAGAGCTCACTTATGGCTCCAGTATTCATCGCCACTCCTCGTTCTTCCACTGCGATTGAAGGGGATACTGTTACTTTTGAATGTGCTGCAAATGGTTTTCCAAGACCTCACATCACATGGTTGAAAGATGGTGTTACCATTGATTTGGCGTAATGATTTTCTTTTCTTTTTCTCTTACTCAAGTGGCTGCATTGAATTAATTTCAAGCGATTAGTCAAACCATAGCTTATGTTTGAAAAAAACAATCAGTTTTGAATGAATATGGGAATTTTAATGGATTTAGAACGTGCACTTTATTTTTTGGATGTCATTAATCCAAAAATGAAGGGAAGCTATGCTGCTGCAAGTAGGCCTTTTTGAAACGGTGATATCTCTTTAAAAACTAGTACTAACAAAGAAAGTTCCCGTCACATTTCAAGTTTCAGCTACAGGTTCTTCTATTGTGAAGGGTAGGATAAAGATATGTCTTCTAGGTTAAAAAAAGGGTACTATTTTCGGGCGCCGCGCCATTTATTTCGGATTTTATTTTTTTAAAAATATAATGTTTAATTTGGACATTTTGAACCTGAACAGGCTGCCATTTTGAAACGGTTTTAGATGATGACTTTTGGTTGAAGCAAAAATTTCTCTCTTTTTTATCAAGGTACACTCTATTACTAGTATGGGCAAACGGGGTGCCGAAGTGGCAGCGCTAAAAATATAGGCCGTGGAGTGATTTAGCAAGTTGTACCATCTTTCTGCGTAGTTCAAACGAGGTTCTGGCAAATCTGGTAGCTTCAATAAGCTATCAGATGAAGTCAAAAAATTGATGGAACTAAAAATAACGAAAAACTTAACTATGAACTCGAAAAAATAACACAAAATTGACGAGACCCACTCTCAGAACAGATAGTAAATAAGTTTTCAATATGGCATTGCAGTCGTACCATTGGATGCTATCAAATCTACATGTTTTGACGACTTTCTAAAATTCCATTTGTCCGTACCTTTAGTACAGTGTACCTTGTTTTTTCATGCTATCTCAAATGAGGCAGTACGAGGGAGGTCTTTCATTTGAAAAAAAGAAAGGGTCCTCTAAAAGGGCACCCTCTGACAATATCAGGGCGGCCAAAAAGCAGCTCTCCTTGACTTAGGAACGTTTCCCAAGTTTTAAATCTTTACCGCAATTAGATAAAAGTAATGGGAGAGAACTTTTCTGACATCCTGTTTATAGTTCATGTGCAACATATGTCTGAGTTCAGGACTATCGAATCTGACTCCTTCGTTACGTTGACCAATATAAAATTGTGTCGTACGAAAACCGCTAATGTCCATCTTTTGTTATATGCCTCTTAATCGGTGTATTGTTTGATTTAAAATCATGATAAAATTAAATACCACCTTCTAATCTTCTAATTGAGAGCTCAGGATAAGAAACCTGAAGACCCGAAAAGTTCTCAGAGTTTCACAATGACTTGGCGAATCGGCCACTCACAGGGGAAAACAATTACTCCTCTAATGAAGAGAGTGATGGCAGCGAGTTAGGAGATGCTTAAAAAGGCTCTTTTTATTGTTTTTGTTTATTTTTATTACTTGTCCCTCTAAACATACTTTTCTTCAATTTTTTAGTAAATAGTGCTTTAAAATATGCATTTTCGGTGTTTTAGAACCTTCTACACACAAATTGTGGAAAAATCGCCAATGTCCAGTTTATCGCTGGTAGCTTTGTGATGAAACTTGTTATAAAAGCCGCAATTGTCAGAAATTTTATTTTTTTTTTAACTTTACTTGTATGATAATTTACAGTTTTGATCTCTTTAAAATGAATTCTGAAGATATCAAACATTTTCAAAACTCGGAGATTTTCACGTTTCATACAAAAACTGCTGATGTCCTTGTCCAATGTCCTTTGTTTTTAATTACTCCACCCTGGACAGAAGGGGAGCTGGAGACTGTCAGGGATCCTTTTCTACAATCCACTCCTGTAATAATTAACTTCTGAACATTTTAATACGGCATTTAAAAGGCTTCTACAGTTTTTCGCAGCTTGCTCAAAATTAGAGAAAATGGACATTAGTGGTTTTCTCACGAAATGATTCAATTAAAAAACCTGATTTGGTAAAGTAGTAAATGGTATTCCAGTGAAAATGGTCACTGCCTTTAGATGTAAGTATAGTTCTTTAAACTGTGTTTTAAATACACTTGGGACTTTATCATCTCCTCATTGATAAGTAAAACAATTTTTAACTTAAAACCTAATCTTGTTATACCCAATGAAACTTAGACCTATTCTCTGAAATTTTAATTTGACACTTTTTCAGGGACCTAGATAGTACATTCTCTACAACTGGTTCAGGTAGCCTTCAAATCTCAAAAGTCAAAGAAGAGGACCAGGGAAATTATGTTTGCCGTGCCACAAATAAGGAAGACTTGGCTGATATCAGTGCAACCCTGGATGTTCAAGGTATGTCTTATCTGCCATCGGAATCTGCCCAGAATGAAATCATCTCATCTTCTGAGATATTGAAGGGTTTGGTCTGTGAAGCTCAAATAAGGTTTTAATTTTTACTTGGCTCTCCCTAGGGAGGCGGAGGCGGAGGGTCATATGCAAAACAGGTTTTTGTTAAAACTTTTGAACAGTTCAAGTCATTGATCCAAACTTTCTTTAAAATTAAAATTTGTTAAGAGTTTTGTTTTAATTTATATTTACTTGAAGTTTAGTCAATTTTTAATCAATTCATGGCCCATCGAAAATTTATCGTTAGGTAGTCCTAAAATCCGAATGTTTTAGTCTACAGTTGCCTGTGTTGTACGCAGATTAACAAAGACCTGTCCATTTTAAAGTTCTATCATGGTTCAAGTGAGACCAAGACCAGCTTCGGAAAACGGTTTGTCTCGGAGTTATAAGGTTCAGGGGACAGCGCTTTGGAGTATGAGATACTTCCCTACCAATACCTGCACCCCTTTACTTTTGTCAGGCTGTATGACGTAAACTGAGGAAAACTACTTTTAACAATGAGCTTTTTTAAGCAATATTCAATTCTCGTATTTATGAAAACTAGAGAGTGCACAGAATACAAAGGAATTTTTCCAAATTTTTTTGAACAATATTAACCCTTGAAAAAGGGCTCAAAGTTGTGTATTTTGAGCTGCCATGATACCGCGCATCGGCGGGTAACTAAAAATTGCCGCCGCGGCCGCCCGTCGGAGAATGGCCACATCTTCCATGGTCCAGGTGCGGGCTTTAGGACGTTGCAGAGTTGACTCAACGAGTGTGGCCATTCTCCGACGGGCGGCCATTTTTACTGACCCGCTGACCCGCGTTCCGATGGGAGCTCAAAATACGCGACTTCGAGCTCATTTTTCGTGGTTTATTATTGTTCAAAGAAATCTGGAAGAATTCATGTGTACTTTGTACACTCTCTACGTTTCAGAAATGCAGGAAATAAGCGTTACTGAACAAGCTCACTATTTGAACAAATAAGATTGCAAAGCAATTGCTGTGATGTTAAAAAAGTATGATTAGTATTGTAAGAACAATGCTTGGGAAAATTAGCTAAAAAGCAAAGCCAAAAGACCATATGTCAAAAATAAAAAGAATAGAAAAAAAATAAAGTTGTTGTTGCAATTCATTTTTATCATAGTACTCACTTTTCCTTTTTCGCCCGATTCAAAATTTCAAATCGGGCGAAAAAGGAAAAGTGAGTGCTCTGCTGATACAATCCGATAAAGGAGGAAAATGAAACATAATCATTTTTAGCAGTTTGTAGCTTCTAATATTTGCTTCCTCCTTCAAATGTGTTCAGTGCCTCCAAGGTTCAATCAGGAACCTTCAACAAAAATTGCGCATGAAAAAGATGACGTTGAGTTACCGTGTGACGTTTACGGTAAACCAGAACCCAAAGTTACATGGTTGAAAAATGGTGAGCTAATCAACTTCAATGAATACCTACAAGTCGTACACAGGTAAGTTGTAAAAAAAGTCACTGTAACCTCTTTTCAATGGGAAAATTACCAAACCTTTCACCTTGGAAAACCCAAGTGTTCAGGAGATCTAAAAAACTGTCCATGCTCCCTATCTTTGATGGTAAAAAATTAATGATTCTTCAAGATAGCCAAAGCAAATATGTTTCTCAACACTGTGCAAACATTTTTAAAAATAATCTAGACCATTTGGGAATATGACAAAAAAATTAAAGTATGTGTTTGTGAAGTAGGGACCAACACTTTATCCTGAGGTATGTGAATTCAGAGGCAAGGTTCGAAGCCAATATTAGGCGGATTATGATTGAAGCAAGGCTCAACAAAGAGTCTTAAAGAACATCGCGCTTAAATTTACTTTGTAGAAGCCTCTACTGATCCCGCAAAATATCGTATTGCGATGTTAAGCACTTTTTCCTACCACTTATTCAGAGTGTTTTTGCACAGGGCAGGCGGTGTTACGACCATCATAGTAGTAATTAAAAAAGGCATGGCTTCATCTTAGTTTACTTTGGATCAGTCCATGGACACCTGTTTTTCGTGCAGTTTGATAGGTTCCTATCTGTGTCTACATGAGATATGTGCTCTGCTAATAAGCGTCAAGAAATGTGTAAATAAAAGAATTCTCTTGGTAACCATCTGATTGTTTTTTACTGAAATATTTTGATGGCAGATAGGAGAAATCTCAAAAATCTCATTTATACAGCTAACTGAAAACTAACAAGAATTAATATGAATAGTTTGGTTTCACTATCAATGAAATGCCCATGAATAACTGTTTCCCCTCTGACAAGGATACGTTTCAAGCTGGATTTTCCATAATTTTTTCACATTATACAGGGTGATCCAGACCACCCGTCCACTATCTTTTTCTCGAAAACGGCGGAGAATTGAGCGTCGGGACCAAAACTTTCATGCGGTAAATCGATCGTAAAGAATCGAATGAAAATATTTTCAGCCCCGGTAAATGGCTCTTTGGGGGGTTTTGGGGAGGAGCCCCCCCCGTTTCTCGCAATTTTCAAATAGGAAGGGTATGTTTTGACTTTGGATTCGGAATCTACGCTAAAAAAATAAGAACATTTTATTCTTTGCACTTTTTCCCTAAACCCCCATTTTTTGGAGTTATGGGGCATTTTCGGGCCTTTTTGGGGCGATTTTCAATTCGATGCCGAAGCAGCCAAATTATTCAAATTTCAAAATCTAAAAATCCCCTGAGAGGAAAGGTCAATACCTTTTTATCGATGTGCCACATGACCCCTGTTGCTCCAAAATTTTGGGGGCCACGACCCTCAAAAAATTTTGGGGCTTTGGAGGGCCGTAAGTCAAAAATTTCAAATGGCAAAGGTATGTTTTGATTTCAGATTTGGATTCTACGCGAAAAGCTACGCAGAATTGATGTAGGGAATGGCCTGTTCTCTCAAATTGTTTTTTGCCTCTTATTTTCTCCAAAAATACACGGATTCTTATGGGGAAATGGGGTTCTTCAGTAACTTGGAGCAAACAGGCCTTGCGCCATATCAGTTCCACGGAACTTTTCGCGTAGAATCCAAATCTGAAATCGAAACAAACCCTTGCCATTTGAAATTTTTGACTTACGGCCTTCCGAAGCCCCAAAATTTTTGGGGCGTCGTGGCCCCCAAAATTTTGGAGAACAGGGGTCTTGTGGCCCATCAATAAAAAGATATTGACCTCTCCTCTCAGGGGATTTTTAGATTTTGAAATTTGGATAATTTGGCCGCTTACAGCATCGAATTGAAAATCGCCCCAAAAAGGCCCGAAAATGCCCCATAACTCCAAAAAATGGGGGTTTAGGGAAAAAGTGCAAAGAATAAAATGTTCTTATTTTTTTACCGTAGATTCCGAATTCAAAGTCAAAACATACCCTTCCTATTTGAAAATTGCGAGAAACGGGGGGGGGGGGCTCCTCCCCAGAACTCCCCCAAAGGACCATTTACCGGGGCTGAAAATATTTTCATTCGATTCTTTGGGGTCGATTTACCGCATGAAAGTTTTTGTCCCGAAGCTCAATTCTCCGCCGTTTTTGAGAAAAAGATAGTGGACGGGTGGTCTGGATCACCCTGTATACTCACACTTCAATTTTTGGTGAAAAAATTGTTGAGTTCATGGATAAAAGAGGTGATGTATCTATCCCCAACCAATTGAAACCAATGATAACGATTTTAAGTAACTGAGCAACCTTCTTGTTTGTTATGTTACCCAACCTCTGACAGATTCTCCACACCGTTAGGTTAGAGGGGTGTGAATCAATAAAGAGCTTGGGTCCTAATTGGATGATTTTATAACAGTTTTGAAACTTGTCTTAAGATTCTTGCCTCCAAAAGCCAAAAAGTAATGGAAATTGGCCTAGCACATCTTTAGACATAATAATTACTTAATTTGTCATTCCTGTATTTTTTGAGTTCTTGCGATAGATGATTGCCTCTGAAAGTCAAGCTTGAATAATAACAATTTTTTTTTTTTTTTACAGGCATAATTTGAAAATATCTGGATCTTTATCTTTAGATTCCGGTATCTTTCAATGTATTGCCAAAAATGATGCTGGCAATATTCAAACTGCTGTTAAGCTGATCGTTTTAAACACAGGTAATTTAACTTTCTATCGATATGTATATTTGTTGTTTCAAAAAATGATTGTGAAATTGAGTTGGACTCGCTATGACACTGGTGTTTCTTCCTTAGTGCTGCAACAAACTATTCGTCAGATCATGACAGTCAGAAATGAACAGCGGCCAACTGGACTTCATTTTGCAATGGGTAATTACAATATCTAGTTCAGTTTAGAAAGAACGTATGCACGATTAGTATTCTTTCCCGCATAAGTGTTATTACGAATGAGTTAGAGATTGTAGTTCCTGATTGCAAAATCCAGTCCAACTTGTGTGGTACTGGTCAAAGATACAGCATGATAAGCCAAGTTCAAAGCTATTAACTTAGCACTGGTTGGAAGCAAACTTTTCTTCTCTTTAAGCCGGTTCCAGACTATGCAGCATTCGCCAAGTCTTACTTGCCAAGTACCAAATGTTTGCCAAGCCCCGCGTGGTCTTGAAGCGACTTTTAATCAGAGGTAAGTTGCTACTTTTGTGCCCGAACTTCCGAGCTGCCATTCTATTTGAGTTCTGAACTTCCGATTCGGTAAATAACGAGTCGCAATGTTGGTGCGAGATTTTGGCACCACCTCGCAAGGTGGTTCTAAATAAGGTTTGACCAATCAAAAACCAACAGATCTGATAGATTGAATCTGGTAACAACGGTGTCCACTCACGGTTCGTTTTAAAAAAATTCAATTTTTCTGATGACCACCCGCGATTTTCTTAGATAAAAGTGTCAAGGAAGGTCTCTAGATTGAGGAATTGAAAACCGCAAAATCGTAAGTGGGGCCGTTTTTTTGTAAATTCGACTTTTTCTATTTTTAAGGGTAAAATGGCGGCAAAAGCCAATGTATGACCATCAAAACCCACCGCCATCTGGTCAAATTAAGTTAAAATTCTATGTATGTTAGTCGTTGACATGTAAATGGATGTCCTCAAAAGTTTCAAACCCTCCCTCAAAAGATTGTACCCCCTCATGCAGTTTTGCCAAGTTACGTACCCGATAATGACGCGGCTGACGGGGCGATGTAGATTTTGAATTGCGATCATCACCAAAAATCATGAAAGCACTTACCATTATACACTGTGTGGATTATTCTAGATTCAATTCGCTAATATCGTACCCAGTTGCCATATTTCAGTTTTTTAAAATTGCAAAATTTGGCCAGAAAATGTCAAATTTTTTATTTGATTAAAACCAGTAAATGCTTATTTTTCAGCGACATTATCAAAATACAGAGCTTTAATTTCTTCTGAAGGAAATTAAAGATTCATTAACTAAAAAGGTACTTTTCGTCCTGTATGCAGGTTTGCCATATAAGCAGCAACAAAAATGCCCTCCGCACAGGAGATGAATCTTGGGCGATCTAGATTTGATATGGGTGTACTCTTTTTATATACTAAGTAAGATAGGAGTTATCTTTTTTTCTCTTCACAAAATGTAAAGGAAAAATTGTTCAAATTTTACTTTTTGATTCCGAAGCAAATTCTGAGAACCTCAAAAAATCGCTCGCACAGTTAACACACGGAAATGAACATTCAAAGCTATCTCAGTCATGAACCTCTAAACTTCATTTCCCACGTTACGATATTTTTGCTGTTACTTTCAATTTTTCGAAATCTGGAACAAATAGATAAAACACGCATTTGTGAGCCTTGAAATTTTTTCTCTTTACAGCTGGACTTTAAGAGATTGGGGCTTCAATTCTTTGCGAACGTCAGGAAAATCTCTAAACGGTTTGTGTTTACTACTTACTCGTGAATTAAAAACTATTTTTCCCTCATTTTTCTTTGGATATTAAGGGGGGGGGGGATCCAAATGTTACACTTTTGGTCAGGAATAATAACATCGGGAATTATTTTCGAACAAAATCCGATCGTCGATTTGTGTGTACTTATTTTCATAGATCAGCTGCGTTCCCTAATTAAAGTTCAGTGACTTTGACAACGTCTCATTTAATGTAAGAATTCTTCAATTAATAGTCTATCAATTGATATTGTCGCTGAAAAATAAGCATTTACTGGTTTTAATCAAATAAAAAATTTGACATTTTCTGGCCAAATTTTGCAATTTTAAAAAACTGAAATATGGCAACTGCGTACGATATTAGCGGATTGAATCTAAAATTATCCACACAGTGTATAATGGTAAGTGCTTTCATGATTTTTGGTGATGATCGCAATTCAAAAATCTACATCCCCCGTCAGCCGCGTCATTATCGGGTACGTAACTTGGCAAAACTGCATGAGGGGGTGCAATTCTTTGAGGAAGGGTTTGAAACTTTTGGGGATATCCATTTACATGTCAACGACTAACATACATAGAATTTTAACTTAATTTGACCAGATGGCGATGGGTTTTGATGGTCACACATTGGCTTTTGCCGCCATTTTACCCTTAAAAATAGAAAAAGTCGAATTTAAAAAAAACGGCCTCACTTACGATTTTGCGGTTTTCAATTCCTCAATCTAGCGACCTTCCTTGACACTTTTATCCAAAAAAATCGCGGGTGGTCATCAGAAAAATTAAATTTCTTTAAAACGAACCGTGCACTGGTATTGGTGATTGACGAGGCAAACCGGGACAGAACTTCCCAAGGAGATTCGGAACACTAAATAAAATTCGCTCATTATAGAACGCTAGTGGTAGTGTGGAGGTGTACATTTGTAGAAATGCTTGCCTCTGCCTGTCACTTCCCAAACCCCAAATATTTATTTTATTATTTTTATTATATTTTTTATTATCGTTATTTCTTTGTTATAATTATTTTAAGACTTTTTTCTCACTTATCATGGTGTTTAAGTATGATACTGGGCAGCGCTTAGGGTATATGCCTTTTGTCTATTATCATTTTGTTTCCTTCCTTACTTACTTAACTTAATTATAGTATAATATAAACTACTATACAAGGTAGTATTGCACTCCTTTTATTTATTTACTTTTTTTTTCCTTTTTGGTTTTATTCACTGTTATACTTTAAATTTTCCATTTTCAAATGGGGGTATTCACATGCAAGAAGTTTGTTCCATCTGTCATTGGAATTGGGTCCCCCACAAAAACCTCTAATCATTTCAGGCATTGTCTTATTTTGATTAATATGCTTCTGATTTTATTTTTTAGTTTTATTATTTATCCCTCAAGTTCTAACTATGTTTTTCTTTTCTTTTCTTTTTCCTTTTTCCTTAATTTCCCTTCAACTTATTATTTCCGTTTTCTTAAAATCTGATTTTACCCTCTTGAATAACATCATAAAATGGACTGAAATATGCTATCAACTAATTCCCCTTCAAAGGCCAAGAAATTCCTGATCTCATCAGTTCTGAAAAATCCTCTTCTCTAGCTCCTATCAATCCTTCCTCATTCTCAGGTGAAGCATCAAAACCAAAACTCCAAGGTGCCTTACCTGCCCCAAGGAATTTAAGGGCTGTTACAGTGTCAAGAAGATTCGTAGTCTTACAGTGGCAACCACCTGAACACATGACAGAAGAAATTGATGGCTACGCAGTTTTCTATCGAGAACAGGGTTCCCTCAGGTAATTGTCTCTCCAAGTATTCCCTTTCATTTTTTCTGGTCTTTCAACATCTTAACTAGTTGTTAGAACAGATAGCGCTGAAATAGAATTCTTGGGTAAAATATAAGTACAGTTCCTATAAACACCTGGACTGATGCTTTGTTACAATAACTAAGCCACCCATTCAACTCATCTTTGTCTCATTTGAGAGATACAGTAAAATGCAATCAATTTAGACCCGTAGACCAGGATCAGGTTATTTGAACGAAAAATTAACCAAGTTATGGCCGTGTGAAGAAGGGATGCATGGCAACTCTCAAAGATGTTTTGGGACAAGTAACTCCACCGGAAGTATGCTGATAAAACTTTTCCGGTGCCCCTTTTCTATCAAACTTTGCTTGGCAACGTTTAACACAACTTAGCTACTCTGACTGGTTGTCATACGACTCCAACCATAACCATAGCAAAAATGAAAAACATTGTGAATGAAATGGTTCCATGGAAATGATTGGCGCAGTCCCTGTTGTTTCATCATATGTGAGAGTCTTAAGCCGGACTTTTAAGATGTTACTCGAAACTTCCTTGACTCAAGGAACCTCCAAACATCCTCTACTCGAAACTCATTTGACTTGCAAACTTCTCGACTCGAATCCTTCTAGACTCGAAACCCTCTTAACTCGAAACTTCTTCTAAAGTTTCCTCCAGATTTCTGTCATGCAAAAAAAAAGTAAGAAAAAACCAACATGAATATGTTAGAAAAGCGTGCCGAATGACTGAAATGTTGGACACATACCTACTATTTTCATGTCATTGCTATTTGTATCAATTAGTACTTTTCTAAATTTGGGAAAAATATTGATTCATGAACGTTGAATGTAAATTAATTTTAAAGATTCCATCCAATTATTTTAACTTTAAGCTGATGTGCGGTATTAGCGCACGACCGCGATTTGCGGCGAACTCTCGTGCATCAGCTTAAAATCAAGATAATTGGACGGAATTTTAGTGCGTTTTCATCATAATTTCATGGTGGAACTAAATTTTTATCGATTTGATGGCCGAATCGGCTGCCTGAAAAGCAGGCCACTTTAGGGTGGTTCTGTGAGAAATTCCTTCCATTACACAGCCATTTTTTGGTCATGTCGAGTTGTATCACATGTCTTGATTGATTCTTCTGTATTTTTTAGTGCTGAATTCGGGATAAATATCCAAAAATTCCATCACGTCAGGATTTCCGCAAATTAAAAAATTTGGTTTTTTTGGTGGGGGGGGGGGGGTCTCCAAAAAATTTAATTTTTTCTTCTTTTCAATATGACCATTGATTTTGGTCCGTAGTTTCTCTACTTAGTATGAAATAACCATTGCACTCAAGGGCAGTATGCCTCCAAGAGTGATAATTTTCTGTATTTCGTTAAATTTTATGCATTTTTAGGTGATTTTTATCCCTAAAAAATCGTTTTGCAGTCAAAATTTTTAAAAATACAAAGTCTTAGAACACAAAACATTTATTCCCTTATAACTTACTTCTATTAGTACCCACTAATCACCAGAAAAAGTAAACACAAGTTTATAATATATTAAGAAGACGGGGGCAGTGCCAAGATGTGATGAGAGCTCCACGCGGCTTGCGGCTTCTTCTCGCTGCGCGCCGCCTTGTCATAGGTGAAGAAATGGGTAGAAGAAATGGGTTTCACCAAGATATCAAAGATATGGAAAATAGATATCAGGGAAGTTGGGGTATCTCTATGATGGCTGATTACTGCTGGATGTTGCAACGTGATGAACCAAAGAAGAGTTTGAAAGCAAACATGATTATTCCAAGAAAACGCCAACGCAAGGAGTACAATTTTCTGTAAGTTAATTTCATTGATTTAATTGGGAGGGGGCGGAGCAACTTGGATGTCAAATGAGCTTATTACTGTGGGTCAGATGAAAATCATCATAATCACTCGATCATGAATCCGATGACAGTTTGCGGACGCCGCAAGTCGCGTGGAGCTCTCATTATATCTTGGCGCCGCCCCCCTGTTCCCAATATTTAGGAAACTTGTGTTTACCTTTTCTGGTGATTAGTGGGTACGAACGGAAGTAAATTATGGGGGAATAAATCTTTTCCAGTCGTATTTTTAAAAATTCTGACGTGATGGAATTTTTTGGATATTTTTCCCGAATTCAGCGCTAAAAAATACATAAGAATCAATCAAGACATGTCATGCAACTCGTCATGACCAAAAAAATGCGGGGGTGTGTTATCGGCTCTCAGGAAATCAAAATATTGCTAAAATTGGTAATATAGGTGCTCGAGTGCTTAAAATAAAAGTATTTAAGTAACTCAGGCATTAAACTATGAAGTTAATTTCTTTTCAATAATATAACGGGAATTACTACCGATGATTTAGCTATTATAACCCCAAAATACTTTTAAATCACCTTTTTTATCCAGGATCTCAACAGAATTTTTTTTGGCTTAAATGACTCGAGAGACACTGTAGTTCAAGAATCTACAGAGTTTTTGACTGTGGCAGATAAAAAAATTTAAATTCGTTCAGGCACACGGTGTATTCTATGGGGTACGGCTGTCTCTTTCCTTCCGGTCAAAATTCTAAGAAAGAAGCCCCATGCAAAAGACCAATTTTTTGTAATTTTGCCCCAATTTTCGCTCCATTACATTATTGAATTGTTTGTAAAAGTCTGAGGTGAATGATATTAATTATTATCAACATTTCTTAATTTTTCCTTTCTTTCGTTTTTTGGGATGAGAAATTGCGTTGAGTTGATATCTTTTGATTCCGAACTGTAACTTCTCTTCTATTCGGCCGATTTTTACAAATGAGGTCTCTTTTTATTTGTATTTTAATGGAGAGTAAGGAAACACTTGCAAAATAGATGGAAAACAATTTTTGTGATAATTTGGTAGATCCTGGCGTCACGGTAAATGGTTGATCGGGCGTGAAAGATCCCCCCCCCCCCCCCNCGGCGACGGCGGCGAGGGTCGGCCTTTTGTTCTCGTGCTCGAAACCGGACACCCAAAGCGATATCGGGAGATAACTGTAGTGGTTTAAGTGGATTTCTGTATGGTATACGGTCAGCACATGATCTAATGAGTCACGAGGCTCATCACAGATTGCACTTACAGTGCAAAACGCTAATTGGCTAAAAAGGTGTGGTGGGAAAAAAGCTCCTAAATTTGAGTCGTTCTACCGTAGAAAAGCTCATATGAGGTTCCTGTTAAATGAAATAATACGGTTTTGACAGGAAAATGTTCTCAAGGGTTTCCCCTAAGAAGTTTATTCGGTTTTTTGGTAAATTACCATCAGGGCTTGATAGTACAACAGTTTAAAGACAAAAAACGGGTGCGAGGAAAAAAATATTTGGACTGCCCGTTGAATAGCATGGGTTGATCCGTGTGCTGCACTATGGTAGAACCGAGTGATTCAAAATTGGGAGCCCTTCTGGCAAGCTTAAAAATGGCCTCCAGGTGAGTGATACTTGTTCAGCATGAAGAAGAGAACAATTAAGGGACCTATTTGGAGTAATAATGACGGGAAAGTACGTCAAATTAAAGTATAGCGACTACTTTAATAAATTCCCGGGCTGTAAGTTATTTCCGATACATCTGTTAGAGCACGCATCTGCAACCTCGGCGGCCATTCGTTGTTTTGCCATCAGGTGTGCTGTGTCAATTGACAACAATCTTTTTAAGTAATTCATCGTTTTAAAGTTATTAATTAATTTTCTCAGCAGTCTGTATGTTTCCGTCCTTTTTACAGTCCTTTTTGATCATAGTTCAAGCTTTCCCTGGACCTAAATCGTCTTTGAGGAATAACAACTATTGCTACACATTTATACGAGATTGAATGGGAAGTGAATTTCTCAATACTTAACTGAAACTTGATTAAACCTTTGCTTTCTCTTTCTTATTTTCATCATTATCATGTATCTGTATTCCATCATGAATTCTCAGTAAAACTTTTCGGAAGTGCGTGGTTTATTCTCCGGAGAAAAGTTGATGGTATAGCTACATCCAAACAACTGCCTCTCAATTAATATGTACCAAGTAGTCATGAAACCCTATTCTTTCCTCTTGCATTCATACATGTGATTCACAGCAAAGGAATATTCTCTTCTCCCAGGTAACCAATCAAACATTAATAAACTATACCCTCACTCCAGAGCGTCTTCTTCCAAAGCGCTGTGGTTAGATCGTGATTCATCGAGTCGCCAGCTGGTTTTCACAAGCGCTAATTCTAATGAGTCAATGTTGAGCACTCGACACTGTATTGAACTGATTTGTGACTTGGAGATGATATGCTTCTTCTTTTTTTAGTTACTGAACATGATTTAATATTAGTTTTCAACTTGGCCTCTGAAAGCACAAGCATTGGCTACATTAAGCGTTTTGTATTGCCGATGAAAATCAGTCTTATTTTAGTAAGCATTGTAGAGCTCGCTCAGTGTATGTTGAGACAAAAGTCTAGTATTGTTTTTGTCACCCTTTACCAATGGTGCCATCTGATAGCATTTATCATCCTGTTATTAAGTGGTGCTGATTTGGAGCTGATTTGAAAATTACTTTTGTGTCAGCATGCGATGAGCAAGCTGTAACCGCAGAAGCACAACTGACTGCCTAATCTACACCTTTGTTATCATGATGCTTTTCCTCAGGTTGGTATGTCAAGTGTTTATAATTCTTTGAAATTAAGATGTGAGTGTTTTGAACCTGACCCTAAGTTATCGAAGGGAACCCTGAATCAGAGGAATCTGTACTGAGTCATATTGGCTAATCCCTTCATGCTTCATTAATGGGGCAGTTTTAATGCTATTCTCATCAAAGTGTCAGATTCAAGAGTATCCAAGATGGTCAATGCTAGCAGCCGTGTCAGAGAGCAATCTACCTTGGTTAGTTTGTGTCTCTAGTGGCCGTCTCCTTCAAAGATCATGGTTCTCTGCTGATTTGATCTACAACAATTTGAGGAGATCATGGATTGATTGTCCACAGCTGTCAATTTCAACGCATCTCA